ATATTGTGAACATGATACAGGGATTTTCTTCTGTGTGATTGTAAAGATTGGAAAAAAGGGTATACAAATAGCTCGTGGAGCTTCTTAGAATTTGTTTATCTCTTGAAGGGCACGAGAGAAAATTCCTTTAATATCCAAGAAATATCGTGCGTACCTAGGGGGGATAGAAAAAAAAGCAGGTGTTGGAATTTTTTTCGAACTTTTGGAGGTTATAAGTTCTTGGGAATACATTCATTGGCAAAGAATTCCAACGCTTTGCCGTTCTATAGACGAACGAGTTTTGGTAATGTGTAGTTCGACATATTTCAAGGTTGACGACGAAAGGATGTGTTGACTGGGGCTGTTGAGTTCGTCTGAGTGTTATTGCAAGTAATGGAATGATAGCAGAGATTTCGAACATTCTTCTTGAAAATACATATAGAAAAGTGATAGGTCACTGACTTTTCTACGGTGTACTGATGGAGCCAAAGTATTAGTGAGTGTGGCATCACCCACCAGGCGGATGGCTCTTCTCTGGATGGAATCTAAGAGCATCAGCGTAGGGTTGTAAACCCCATATGTGAGAGCGCTATTCTGAAACTGACCGTAAAGTAGATTTTCTCACGGAATAAGAATCCGAGTTTTTATGAAGCAGCGCTCGCGATAGATCGGACATGATTTTTCCATGAAAGAGTATTACTGATGGAAAAACTAAGCATCGTTAGAGTGGTCATGGTGGGAATGGTGGTACAAGACGTTGTTATATCAGGCATGCTGAGTTCCGCCTTTCTAGAGAAAATACAGGCTTAAGTTTTCCAGCAAGATTGTCATTCACAGCGCTGAATAGAATATAGATTGCACAAGTGTTATTGAAATGATTCGTAACAGCAAAATAATCTTAATATCCTCCACGACTAGAGAGTTCCTCTGTGTTTTCGAGCGGATTTCCATATAATAAAGTAATTGCAGCCTGTCCTGGATTCAGAATCCTGACAAAACACGCGAACTTGGAAAAATATGAGCACGGATAATACTGCTCTGGCCAAAAGTCAATTCCTCCACATGTTAATAATTCAGATATTTTAACACATGCAATGCCGGTTTCATTGCCTATTCTCCAACGGCGAAGGGTGCATTTTAATGATTTTTTCTCACTTTACTGCCGGCAACGAATTCCTTATGAGCCTGTCACTAAGGCTATTCGACCAAATGTCGCTCTTTCGGAATGAGAACATTCCAGAGAATCCTCTGCAACCACCTACTAATATGTGGAATGTGAAGACATCGCTCTTTTTTCGCAAATATTCTGTATGTAAACCAGAAAAAGCACTTATTTCATTTCGATAAAGGACCCCGCACAAAAACACGGTAAAATGGCTCTCGGTCGAATTGGCTGAAATTTTACCATGTTATTGTGGGATGGCTCATTAGAAAAATATGTGAGTTTGAAAAGTTTTATATGTTTAGTTTCTGAGATATAAGCCGACGAAGTTCGTCAAAACGTCGGATCGGGGTAGGATTGACAAAGAAAAAAACTGTTTCTTTAGTATAAATGAGACAGAATAATCTAGAAAATGTGTTGATCGGAACTCAAATACATGTCTAGTTATGATCACATAAACTATAGTAAGTCAGGGTGAATACGGGGCACGGTCAAAAAATTCATTTTTCGGAAAAAAAATTGGAGCACTATTCCAAAACCAACAAGTTATATTTTGATGAGACATTATAGTTTTAGTCTATTGTAGGCTTCGAAAACGTATTTTGATTCTTGATAACTATCTCTGTTCGAAATATGAATTTTTAGAATTTTGTGTTATACCCCTTTTTGAAAACAATTGACAGCTTGTTTTTGATCACAAAGAAAGGGATTTATTGATACTGTTGATTGAATGAAAGCTGGGGTAACTCACTAGCGAATTCAGTTGTTCAATTTTGCTCCTCATTTAGATACAAGGTGTGTTAGATTTTGTTGAAGATTATTTATATTGTTTCAATTGAATATATCGAAAACACTTCCGTCAATTTGGATCTCATTTTACTCACACTATTTTGAATATGTTGACTATCATATGCAAAAAGTTTTTCAATGTTTTATGTTTCGTTTCTGAGATATGCATTTTTGAGTTTACAGTATTACAGGTATTATAGGGTTATTACCTCGGATATTACTATCAAAAATTGAAAAATATAAAAACTCCACTAACGATAAGATTTCCACAAAATTCTCAAAAACACCACATGTTTCGCTGACACAGTAGCTTCGTCAGGTGATGAACTGAACTAAACTTGGCTTGCTTATACGATCAATTAGACCTCAATAGTTCATTGTTAAATTTGTTATCTTAGTAGGTAATAATATGTATTTGCTATCAACCCTTTCAAGTTAATCCGGTACACCGAATTTTAATTTCCGAAAATGAAGGTTTATCGAACCTGTCCACAGGTAACTAATCCTTCAGGTTGGGAAAGTAGGATTATAAGCAAGCCAAGGTTAGGTTAGGTCATCGTACCAGTATATCACTTGACGAAGCTACTGTGTTAGCGAAACATGTCTTGTAATTTTTGTATCTAGCTTAATTTCCGAGGAAACAATAAAAATTCGATTTGACTCCAAATTTTAATGTAGGCCTGTTTTCAAGACTTCCATTGAGATTACTCAATAACCCCAAATAGAATCATTTTGAAATTTTGGGGCTGTCTCAGTCTCCAACCACACTAAATTTTGGCACCATGGAAGCTTATACAGGAAGGTTATAAAGAAAAACAATCAATACTTCAACATCTATTTGCTAGAATATCATAGAGAATCACCTCTTCAATTTTTTCGGTGTTTGTTAGATACACTCTGTATATATATAAATATATATCCATTTTTCATTTTATGATTCAACTCATCAGAACTATCACCAAACTGAACAACCTTCACTTCAGAGCAATGAATGACCAGCATTGTATTCTCGGGGATTATATTCTTCAAAATTGTAAGTTTCACCATCACAAAGTGTATTTAGAAAGTGAAAGTACCTCCTTCTTAATATAAGCAGAATTCAGGATACAAGTTCATGATGCTATTCGTCATGTCATCCCGTTTCAAATATTAACTGAAACTGGAACTCAATGACCCAGTTTCCAGATATTGGTTACAAACGGCCTTCTGTGTACTGTGTATCCAGAATCTTCATGCACTTGATATCTATCGAGATGATGAATTTGTCTCTGGAAACTAATACCTGTTTCTGAAAAAATGCTTTTCATTGCCAGAAATTATGAATTCAGTTGGTCATCAATTATTTGTCGAAAAATATTGCCCTACTGAACAATCTACATTATCAAAATACTCATACAAATTTGGACAATTAATATCCTTTTTATGGATCAATCTCCATATGATTTCAAAATTGGCATCTGTGATAAATCCATTTCAACAAATTTTTGGCTCATTTCGAGATGATTGTTCATCAAGAAAATTCCCATAATATCCTCAAAATAAAACCTTGAACGTTGTTTTTCACATTGTGGTCAAACTCAAATAACATGTTTTGTGTTCGTTCATTCTTTGTATATAAAAGGACACATCAATTATTATAGATTTTGTCGGTCATTTGGAAATATTATTTATTGAAACAGTAATGAAGGACACATGGTGTCTCGCAAAAGATCACTCGAAACCGAAGGCAAATTTAGATAAAATAAAAGCATTGAATTATTGAAAATATAGATTAATTGGTAATAAACTCAGAAACTGCTACGAATTACATCCTAGACTGGTTCACAGCGAACATACTCCTGATTATTCTCAATGAAACAAATAGCATGGTTATTCACCACAAAAAATCCTGCGCATAACCTGAAATCATCAAAAAATTGTCACAAAGATATATTATGAAGATGAAAAATAATGGATATATACATATAAAGAAATCCATTGAGAATTTGCATTCTCTATGTGATGAAAATATTGATTTTTCTTCAGTAATCTATGGTATATCCCACAGAAAACAACTACTTTTCTGGCTATTTGCCACGTCGAACATTGTGTTATATCTGTTGAACATCTAGAAGGAGAACATGAAAATAAAAATCCTCTGAAATTGAGAATTGACATTCTCTTCCAAATCGGATAAATAATATGATTTATCATTATGAAAGTATAACTTACCAATATATTCAGTATACCTTTTCAATACTTCATACCCAATCAAGGAGTTCGAACTTCAACGATGGAATCTTGCTATTCTTATGGACCTCTAATCGCAGATTCGTTATTGGGTTTTCTACCAGCCATATAGCCATATATAGCTGCATTCAGAAGAAAACAACACGAAATTTTTTGACATTCATAATTACAACACTCGTAACAAAAATAATGTTTTCAATTACGAAGTGGATCAGAGAGGACCATTACCTAATAAAAATTATTATCAGATTACCTCATATGAAAAACTTCTTTGAACAAAAGTATATAATACTCTCAATGGATTCTTCGATAACTCACTCCAATTATTTCTACCTTCAAATGAAAAACTGTTGCTCAAAATTGATATTAATTATTTATGTGAAAAAAAACTCATTTTCTTTCATGCTCTATGTCATTCTCTAACTATATGCATACTTATCAATCTATGATGTAGTTTCTTGGGGAACAAAAAATGTGTCTGTCTGTATATCTATAACGTTTTCAAATTATTGGAAACCGTTAAGTTTCAATAACTGCTATATCCTTTACTTCGGCTGACCTGAATTAGGAAATAAAGAATTGCTGACACACCCACTGCATCCGAAACTCAATATCCGAAAACAATAATCGGAAAAGGGGCTGATTTCAATATTGTATATGAGCAGGGGCTGTCATTTAACTTTGTAAATACTACCAAACACAAAAAGCGTATAGCACACATAGGGTAAAAATAATAGCAACAACGGATCGTAGGACGGGCGCGCGCAAGCGCTCTTCCGTCTTGCTGAAAATTCACCTGAAAGTCCTGAAAGCTGGCAGTTTCACATTGTAACCCCGAGCTTGAAGCTGTAAGTGCTGTTTCACGTCACCCTGTTCGCTTCTCACTTCAATTATGCGACAAAAATGTCGTTTTTGGATACTGCAAGGTTTTCCTTTGGTTATGTGATTCTGCGGGTGATGAGTGGTGTGGATTTATTGTGTTTCAGTTCGCGGAGAAGACTGGGGTGAAGTTTGACATGCTGGAATTCTGTAAGTAGAATTACTCGAATGCCTACTGCAGGGGTAACCTAATTCCAAAGTGTCGTGTAGAGAAAACTGTCGATCGCCTTTTTCCTTGATTGTGAACTCGTACAGTTAGATATTATCAAGTGGTCATTCTTTGATATCACATGTTTGATAATAGAAAGCTATGCGATTCTATCTGCAATATGAAGTAATTCATCACTCACCGCTGAACATAACCATTGATTTTTCACGGTTTCCCAATTAGAATTTCTAGGTAATATAAATAATGAATGCATTAAGAATATAATATGGCTTTCATATACATTTGGAGTCATGAAACTATGTTCCTCCTATAAATAGATTCTATTATTGAATTATCCATTGGTACTCACATGATTTTCACTTCAGCTGGAGCCAATTTCTGGAAAATATGTATCCTAAGATTGGTACTTCGTTTGCATGGATATTAGATCAAATGTCCGTTACCCTTATTGTGATCAATCAATAGACGATTGTCCAAATATTTTCTAGGTTCAAGGGATTTAGTCAACATTGATGATATTTGAAATACTGAAACACGTTCAGATATAAGTAGGCTCTGCAAATCAGGGTTTTTGACACTTGTCGCTTTGAGTGCTCCTTTTGTTGTCATCGTGTCACAGTATTCGTGAATTGCTGCTGAGTGTTCATTCAGTTCTTTTACAAGGCCATTTGAATAAACCAATCAAATACTTTTCGACCTGGTACTAGTTGGTATAAACCAAGTTTCATCCCAATTCTATTGTCCTTTCCTTCCTGCACAGAGTGTCTCCAGTCAAACTACAGCGAACTCTACAGGGTGAATTAGAGATCAAAATAGGGCCAATTCAAATCAACATACCTCAATATTCGAAAATGCAATGTTGAGCCGGAAACGAAAAATTTTACGAAATTTCCATATCACCTAAAATCGTTACAAAATAACTAACATATTCCAATACTGAACTCATCCAAGCAAGACTCCATACAGACCCAATTGGAGAAAAATATGGATACTTGATTCATTTTTTCATGAAAATATCATAAAATATCAGTTTCATCGATTTTCTTCAGACAGAATTTAAAATACCGATCTCCCAGTATATGGATTAGAATGATGGTATGACATAATTCAAATCGGTATATTTTCAACTCTAATTCACCCTGTAGAGATTGGCGTATAGTTTTATCTATGGTAATGATACCTTGTACATAAAAATATCAAGTTGCAATCCTGGATGTTTCCAGCACAGCCAAAAATTCATCAGTGTAAATATCCAGGGCATTTTCGGAAGTTTGTATCTATCGGGAATTCCTGATATCTTTCGAAGATGGCTCATGGTCCAACTTGAAGTTTAGCTTCTATTCGATATACTTCCAGTTCCCAATTGACTATAGGTCATTTCCTGTAGCCAAAGATGATTTGTTACTTCCATGGGACCAACCTGCATATGCTTGATTAGCACATTCGACTATGTCAACAGTAGTATTATTGGCAGATCGATCGATCATTACTTATACTGGTATCATAACCACGGGTGATGACTATTTAAATAGAAGTAGTGAGATAATGGTTGATGAGCAAACATTTTTTATTCAGAATCATGTCTTTATCACCCTCTCCTTGTTGGTTAAACAAAATTCGTTCATAGGTTATGTACCTTTCAACGTTGAATTCATCTGCACTTATCATATCATAATATTCAACAGAAAACAACTACTTCCTTTCCACGTCCTGTATGATGACCTTCAAGTCATCCTTCAACAAAGTAACTTGTAATTGTTTTTAATATGAAATTATGCTAAGATCAGTTCGAATACTGTCTTAGGTACTTGTCCTTATGTACTATCGTCTGTATTTGAATACGGGATTGCTAGTGAATTGACTGGTATCATCAATTTTCAAGTTTAGTGTTTTCACCTTCATTCAATATGATTTTAAATTTTTATTATCTAATGGAAATCCATGGCAAATGTGAAAACTGCACAAACTATAAGATTTCCACGAAATTCTAAAACACACCATCGTACCAGTATATCACCTGACGAAGCTACTGTGTTAGCGAAACATGTCGTGTGTTTGAGAATTTTGTGGAAATCTTATCGTTTGTGAAGTTTTTACATTCATTATGATGCCTGTATATGGGTCAGCCCAGTGAACTGGTTGGAACCCTTAACTATTAGATATTGTCTGTGGAAGTATTTTCATGACAACTCCATCCAATTATCGGAAAATACATGCGTGAATTATGTTTGTGCGTAGTTTGTCACATACATAAAGCTTCGAACTAATCACTCTAATTATGTAATAGCTCGCATAACCGTCAGAATCGAATTTCATTGTGGGATTGTGGCGTTTCAATTCGATTGCCAATAATCCATCAGGTACTATATTTTCCTTGACGAATAGACTGTTGGAAAGTCCCAGGAAGAATGTAATTTCTCTTCTAATGTAGCTACAGTTGAATGCGGGACAGCCTTCTGGAATACATGTACCGCGTGGTCTAGTCAAGACTATCCACCAAAGGTAACTCCCAGAAAAATTATTTCTCAAAAAACCAACCCCATTCCCCCCCTCCCCCCATGATTCGAATAGGGGTCATGTTATTCATCATAGTAAAGGTAATTCAATTCTGACACTAGCAGTGCACAGTTTATTGAATTTCAACAAGCCATTTTTATATTCGAGTTCAAATAGTATGTTTTCTAATTGAGAGTAAATGCATGTACGGAATGTATTAGTGAATGGTTATCCACAACAAATGTTCCTCTAGTTACTAGTTGGCATTCAATCATTATTATTTTTCCCAAAGCGCCCAGATCAGTAGATTCCGTTTTATAATGACCCCATAGAAAAAAATCATTGGGTGCCATGTCCGGCGAGCGTGCTGGCAAATTATTGGTCCTCTACGGCCTATCCATTTTTTTGAAGTAATCACTGTACGTAGACCTCCACGTAGACGTTAACGTACGGAAAAAAAACGTTTACGTATCATCTTTAAATTGAGTTGAAATCGTCATTGTCATTGTAACATAACAATTCATTTTGTTTTCAGTTTGTATTGGTGATATCTGGTTGTTTGGTTAGATCAGACAAGCGTACCACTTAATATGGGGCTCAAAATTTACCATCAATACAGAAAGCAATCATAGTGAGGATGATTGTGGAGATTTTCATTAACAGGCTATCAGAATCGGGCATATGAGCACCCCTCTTGAATTTACTAAAGAGCCCTGATGATGGCCGTATTGGCGAAACCGGTTACATGTAACAGAAGTGTTTTTATATAAAAAGTGATCGACCGACTTTGTTCAGCGTGTACATCTTTTGAACATCCATTGTTTTTATTATTTACACCAGAAGAAGCTTCATGTTGCGGTTAACAAAACCAACAAGTTTCATTGATATGGACAAAAAGACGAGTTGGTCAATATTGACCATTATTTTCAAGAAATTAGGAATGAGATTTTCATTGCAACCATATCATAATTATAAAGATGAAATAAAATGGGCCACTGAGTATTTGATGACGTTTAAAAAATTCCTTGCTGTTATTGTACTGATAAAAACATGATAATATCGAAGAAATCTTCATATTTCCATACTGTACGAACGCACTGTGTACATCCATTTCTCAATATACAAGACACAACGTAAATAAATGAACAAAATATTATCACAAACACCAGTTGTCTAGGAAGGCTTTGAACATAATCGATCACTATTCAAATAAAAACCTTGCTGACGTCGGCGTATATACAATCGATATCAAAGTGGATTCTGGTATATACAGCACAGAACTCGGTTGAAGTATATTATTCTCGTTGCATCCGTTTCATTGATATTGACCCTTTCATTCTTATCAGTCAATTCTATCCTATCAACTCCCTGATGGACTTTCAATTCAAAGAATAATATAAAATCGATTCCACACGAAATTTATTGAACATCCATGTAGCTGAAGCTGAATAGTCATCTGATAAAAAGCGTGAATAAACTTATACAATCATTATTGGGATTATTATTTGAATATACACCTGTGGTAAATTCAGGAATATCTGTTGAACCAATGGTAGAATTTTAACAGATATGATTTTGTATGACTACCCTGAATATTTTCCAACATAATTTGACTGTCATACATTACACTAAGTAATCTTAGTTCATGCCAATTTACACTAGTTTCTACTCAAATGCAGACATCTTGATATACCTACTTTTGAGAATGTATAAACTCTTTCTGAGGTTCCATCTCTGGCTGAAAATATACTGATTGATTTCAAATTTTCATGAATATCAAACGCTCTTAATTATATTCAATCAACTGTATCTATCTAGATCTATCAACCCTTCGCTTGGATTTATCTGTTATCTTCTATAAATGAATATAGGTATACGAAAGGGTATTCCTCATTAGTTCTTTGACATCATTGGAACACCGTCGAATAGTAGGCAATCTTTCACTTTTCTATGGATACTTTTACGGGAAATGTCTCTACTATCATTCCATCACTAGCAATACCGCAGTCAGACAAACTCTACAAGCCCAGTCAGCACATCATTTCGTCAACAACCTTGAGATATTTCGAACAAATCTTTACCCAAACCTGCTTGTCTATAAAACGGCAAAGCTTTGAAATTTCCTGCCATGGGAAGTATTCCAAGAACCTATAATCGCCAAATGTTCAAAAAAACTTCTTTCTATCCATCCTAGATACGCACGATGTTTCCCAAGCATTATAGGGATTCTCTTTCGTGCGCCCCAACAGATAAAAAAAAGGTTTCCCACATTTGATATCCTGGACCTTGTTATTGTGGCTATACAGGGTGTTTCAGATTCAAATGTACATACGATACCTGTAGATAGAGGATACTTTGATGGTTCCAAATCACCATTCATTGGTGTGTCTTGTATCTTTTATAACTGAGATACAGAACGTTTTCTTGATTTTGGAAAAATCTCCATCTACTCATAATTTTTGAAAAACTTAGTATAATCTTCTCA